GGAGAAGTCCCAAAGAAGAGCAATAAAAATGAAACATGGTTTAGAAAACCAGCCCTTATTAGGGAAGGAATGAAAATAAAAAAAATCTGCCTTGTGGGTGATGTTAAAGGAAGTGTAGCCTTTATGAGAAAAGGGGTGGAATTTGAGTCCTGTAGCCTAAGCTAGAATGATAGAAAGCAATGCATCTGGTCAAGGTTAAGAAGCATAGATTTTTGCTGAACAATATATCTCTACAGCTTGTTCCAGGAAAGCAAAATTAAACCCACATATTTTTCACCAATTCAATTCCAGAGCTTATCAAAATATTTAGTCTACAGGTGTTCACAAAATGCTTGCATGTGAAATTGTAACCCCTAAAACAATTTTTAAAACAAAATCACCTGAATTTTAAAACACAAAATAAATTCAGTAAAATGTGAATACTGCTGACTACAAAATGAGTGCTGAAATTGACTGTATTCATTTTAGTCACTGATTGAATGATACTGTTTTTATCTTCCCTTCAGTAGAGCAGAAACATTTCAGGGATTCTAAAATACTAATATAATAAGCTACAGATTTTGTTTTAAAATTGCTTAAGTTTTTAGCTTTAAAAGTTTAATAACAAAATTTTTAAATGACAATGTCTAAAGCTCCTGAAGATATTGGGTTATGTGCAGAATAGATGGATAAAACATCTGACTGAATGTAATTAGATGCATCTATCAAGTTCTTTAAAACTGAGCGAGTAATTCCACTTTGAAAAATCAATCTTATAGAAATAATCCTAAAACAGAAAAAAACAACTTGTTTATATATAGTAGTATTGTTTGTAATAATAAAAATGTAATGTGAAGGTCTGTGTAGAAAAGACACCCGGGTGGTGAATCATTCAACAAAAGTAAAGAAAAACTACATATCATGCTGTCATCCATATAATGGTTTTCACCATATTTACAACTATTTTCAAAACAACCTTATGGCTCAAGGAACTTTAAAAACTCCTAAAACACAATACATGCCATCCAAATATATAATGCACATTTCCCTACTTGCTAAGGATTAATTTATAAAAATAGAAATCACAAATAAGAATAGCTCCTGTCAGCTCTTTGTTTTTAATGTAAAACTATGGAACTAAACAGGCTTTATTCCAGAAAGCATAGCATCAATTTTATAAAGGAGACACAGCAAGAAGATGCCTCTTCACTAGACATTATTTGCAACAAAAGCTAAAGGAACCACATTTGTCAATTGTGTCACTTTGTTTAGCTTCACATTCCAAGTTCATAAAATTTTGTTAAAATTAATCTTTTTTTGTTTTTGTTTTTTATACATAGCCTTGTTTCCTACTTCTTCTTAGCAGACCTATCAGTTGCAAAAACAAAAACAAAAAACAAAACCAGTTCACAGCAATCACCTTAAATAAGTCTACAGCCTTAAATCCGTCTATAAAATGTTTAAGCAATTCTCTACTTTTCTTTTTGCTATGGGTCCAGGGATTCTAATTTGCTGAACCACATATGACCTCAGCATCTGTCCCACTACAGTATTCCATATAGCAAATAGCCATCAGCCATAGTATCTGAGATAAAGGATTTCATCACTCTTGTATTCAAGACTAAAGCAGAAAACTAACTTCCTTTGTACAACTGACAGACTGACTTCCCCAATGGCCAGCAGAATAAGGATGAACGGTTTCTTCAAAATCAATAGTGCACAGAAATTTAATATTCATCAACTGTTCTAAAACTTTAGACTAAAACATTTTTATTTAAAACATGATTTATCAAAGTTGCTAATGAAATAGAGTATATTATACCAGAAATATAAACTGCTCCTTGATATATACATTTCATTATACATTTTCTCATCCTTTTCCCCTGAGAACTTGAGAAACCATTTAAAGATCACCAGAGTATGATCACCTATGACACAGTTCTCACTGTATAAGAAATAATAAATTATTCTTGTTCAAAATCCTGTAAATTTTTACTATTTGTCATCCCAATGAATAGTGAAGAAATGGAACTTACTTTAAAATAAATCAAACTTAGAAAGCCCCTCTTCTGTTACCTAAGTCCATGCCACCTTTAAATATAAAATAAAATGTTTTTAGAGCAACCCCTCCAAGAACAACCTTTGGTGGGAATGATCCCCATGTTACCAATGCTCTCCTTAGATTTCTTTCTCATGATCTTATGTGAAAGATGTCAAAAAATAAAATAAAAACAAGCACAGACACAGACATAATTCCTATTTTCCATATAAAATAGCATTTGCTTTTTCCCATGCTGATTCTGCAAGGCAGCTTATTTACAAATATATAAATAGCTGCAACTTTACTCCAGTCTCATTGAAAAATCAAAATGGCATCATGCAAGAGGCAAGAGAAGTAGCCTAGCATACTTGGCACAATGAGTGAAATGTAAGTGGAGATGAGCCAAGCCACTTGACACTCCTAGTCAGCTTAACCAGATACCCTCCAGTTTCCTGTAGTGACAGTACAAGGTTTCTGCTCTGCAGAGCCAGACAATTCACTTACATTTATTGCACCCAAATCTGGCAGTGATTTAGATCCAACGTGGGAAAACAAATTTCATGGCATACCTAGTATTTACTGTCTAACTATGGTAGTGGTCTTCCAATGTAACGACTTAAACTTGGCTAACTCTTCTTACGTACAAGTCAGGTGAATTTTAAAAGGTTTTCTTTGCAATTTGGTCATGGGGCCAGAACACGGATTTGATATAAGAAAGAAGACATGAGGAAACAAATGTATCTTAATTTCTAAAACAGAATTTATTGTCTTTTTGAAATTCATTGAAGCTATCTACCAGTAGTTAAATATCTAAACACACACCTATATGTATATGAGACTGTACTGATTTTTCTTTGATGCACATAAATATTCCAGCATGGAACTACAGTGCCCTGAGGTTTAATGCCTCTGTGAGAAGCACCTAAACACGCCCACAGTAGCAGGTCTGCACAGTTTTATCTGCTGAAATGCCCTTCCTGACAATCACCCATTATATCCGCCATTACCAAAGTACTCTCTTCTTTTACAGTCTTATTTTTTACCAAATTAATGAGCAGTTTACTTTTAAGGAACCATATCATTAAACTAAAAGTATCTAAAATATCTCAAAAGGCTTAAAAGGAATGGTTATCAGGGGGAAAAAAAGTGAGTTACAAATCTAGTTTATAAGGAGCATCTGATATAAGCAAGGAGATGTTTGACTCAGTTTCCCTTTTGAGGATTCAAATTCTGAGATTCTCAACAATCTATCTTGCTAGTTAAATATTAGGTTACCCATCAGAAACAAGAAAAAATCATTCATGTATGTGTTCACATAAAAACATCTGTGTATTGCGTGTTAAACAAAATTTGTTTTTTCAAAAATTGCATCATTCACAGAGTCGGAAATTTCTCCAGGTCCCCTACCAAGCCAATTTCACTGGGGCACTGCAGATGGAGCAGGTGTGGTTTCCCTGCCTACTCCAGATGGAAACACAGAGACCAGGAGCTTCCATAAGCAAGGTCCAGGTACGTGGGTTCCATGACTAAATCTCCAGTTCTCATGGTGGAAGAGAACTTGGGCTGCTCCTCTTTGGGTCCCCGCCTGCCCAGCAGACTGGCTGTCACCCCCACAATGTGCCTTCAGGCACCATTTTAGGGTACCAACAGCCTTGGTCCAGAGATACCCAACTGAATCACAAAATGTATTAGTGCCCTACAGAAATGTCTCTGGAACCCAACTATTTACAACCTAGGGTTCCAGAAGCTCATGGCCATGGCACCCAAAATGAGCAATGGACAATAAATGATCCAGCATCTGCCCCTGGAAGGCAGGTTTGAATGTTGGTTGGAAAATTCGAGCAAAGCATAGTGCCCAAAAGTAGAGAGAGAGTATTGGGGAAATTGCTTGTTATGGAGGCAGGGTGAGGGCTGGGATGGGGGCAGGGGGCTATACTGGGGACACTGGTGTTGGAAAGTGTGCAGCGGTGGAGGAATGGGTGCTTGATCATTATAAGGCTGAATCTCAAACATGAATGCTTTGTAACTGTATCTCACGGTGATTCAATAAAAAAAAAAGTAAAGTGGAGTTCATGCCCAATTCAATCAGCTTAATCAATGGCTGATTGAAGGAGCAGTACTCCTACATTTAAAAAAATTACATCCTATTTATATACTGGAATATCCACCTATTTCTTTTCTTTGCATTGAGATTTTTTTTCTGGAGGTATTAGAAATCTTCAAAAAAAATTATGCTCAGGTAGGCCTGGTTGTGCAGAACTTCGGCTAACAGTGCAGGATGGGTGAAAGGAGGCAGGTTTGTTGTGGGGATGAAACTTCCCAGCCCCTGAATGCTCATCTTACACGCAAAAATTAAAAATCATGACCAGATACACTATAATTGCCTTCCTGATGACTCAGTTCTCTAAATTAGTAACACTGTCCGCTGATAGCATATAGTCATCCACAGGAAAAACTAATTTTGCCTTGTATAATTGCTGACTAACTCTTTGATAGTACCTAAGTGAAAATCTACTCCTTTTCTTTTAATCCCAGGTTTATGAGCAGAAAATAATAATAAAGATGACAAAAGAATATTCTGACAAACATATTCTGAAATAAATTAAATATAAAATTCAAAGATGAAACTGCAAAGTCACTTTACTATAATATTCTACACAAAAGAGTAACACCGTTGGGCAAATTTCCAATATATATATATTGGAGTATATATATATATATATATATATATATAGTAGAAATATATGTAGAAATAAATTTATAATTTTTCATCTCTATGTATGTTGTCTATATTTCAAAATTTGCATTTTAAAATCTAATGTCCATGATGTCAACTTTAAACACATTTATCACAGCATTCATCTTATAAAAATTCAATCACCACCATATGATTTTATTTTTAAACAAGGAATTTAGAAACTCCTTATTAGGAAACAATAAGAGTATTAAAAATTGGTTAAAATATTGTTATTTTACTCACATGGCATCTCTAATCAGAAGTGCACTCCCCAATCTGAAGCATGTTTTTTCACCTTCACAAAATGCACGTCTTAGAGTAAAGCTCTCTCCTAGGTCAAAACCTGAAAAACATGACAAATTATTTAATCCAGTGGTTTCCTTAAACTTAGAAGACTCATAGTGATATTGTTTTTTAGATGGGATTTTTTAATTGTCTTTGTAAATAAACTTATTTGATTCAAATAAAATTCCTGCTATTTGGGATTAGTAAAATTTCGGATTCACTTTTCTCCTTTTAAAATATGAGTGTAAAAAGTGTTTCAAGACTCAGATGTGGCCCTGCAATTTGGTACTGTGCTTGCCTTACAGGCATGAGGCCATGAGTCTAATCCCCTGCAACAACCAGCCTTGCTAGAGTCATTCTGGAAGCATTACTGTTAAAAGTCCCTGCACCACAGCCAGTGTGTGACTCAGTGCATTAAATCCAAAGGTGTGAGCCTCAGTGAACACTGCAACCAAGAACACAAGCACCATGATCAAGTGTGTGGCTCCCAAATATTATAACAATAGAAGGAAGAGGAAATTAAGACTCAAGTATTAATTTTCTTTTACCTCAGTATTATCCTCTGTAAACAATTGTAGTTCATTATAGCAATTCTGGTATCTAAAGACAGAAAGAACATGGCCACTTTGGTGGTGGTGGCGTGTAAGTACCTTTGTGCATCAGTACCTTGAACAAGGTTGCAAATGCATAGGGACTAGCTCTTTCCTGCAAGCAGCCAAACTAGGTTTAATCCCCAGCATCACATATGGTTCCTGAGGTACCCCAGGAACTCTGAGCACAGAACCATGGGTATAGATAGCTCTTAGCACCCCAGAAGAGGTCCAAACCAGACCCCTCCCCCCAAAAAAATTTATACACATATTACTGAAATCTTAGCAGTCTTCAAAAAAAATCATGCTTTAAGAGAATCTACAGTGATGTGTGGAGATTCTTATGTATCAAACGTAATATATATTATAATTATTTGTGTACATGTGAATGTGTGAGGATTGGGGAAGGAGAAGAGTTTAATTGGAAGGAGAAAGTTAAAAAAGAGGAGTAGCCAGGGCTATGATACAGTCAGTAGTATGCTTTCCCTTGCACGTGACCAACATGGGTTTGATCCCTGGCACCTCATATATGGTCCCTTGAGCCAGCCAGGAGTTACCCCTGAGTGCATCGCTAGGAGTAATCCCTGAGCACTACCAGTGGAGCCCAAAAATCAAAAGATAAATAAATAAAAGAGAGAAGAAAAAATAGAGAAGGATGAAAGAGGGGAAAAAAGGATATGGCATACCAAAATGGTCATTTTAACAATATTTGTTTTGATATTTTTTTCCATAAATTTTCTTTTTTTCCTCCCAGGATTTCTAAAAGAATATAATTTCATAAATTCAGTTGACCTTAGGTTCAATAATATAGTATTCTGTTCTCAGCATTTTTTCCATCTTTCATTTTAATATTGCTAAGAACATCTTAAACTTCAAAGTCAAATAATCACCAACAATATATTGCACATTTGTCAACAATTTCTTTAAAAGTGTTATTTTGAAAGAATTAAAATGCTTACCTGAAAGTTCAAGTTTCTCTCTGTTGCCTTGTATAAACTGATGTCCCTCTGTTCTCAGTGGAGGACACTGTTTGTCTATTTAAAAAAGAAGACATTGTGAATTTGTACTACACTTTCTATTAATATTTTAATAAATTTTAATCACACAATAAATTTGAAAACAAGACAAAATGTAAGTAAACTAATCCAGTTTACTAAATCTCTAGGTAGCACTGTCCTCCCGTTGTTCATCGATTTTCTCGAGCGGGCACCAGTAATATCTCCATTGTGAGACTTGTTGTTATTGTATTTGGAAGCCCAGCAAGCTACTGAGAAGATCTCACCCGCACGGCAAAGCCTGGCAAGCTACCTGTGACGTATTCGATATGCCAAAAACAGTAACAACAAGTCTCACAATTTGTTGTGAGATGTTACTGGTGCCCGCTCGAGAAAATCGATGAACGAGAGGACAGTGCTATAGTGCAATTAAATCTCTATAAAATTAGAGTAATAAAAATTAGAAAATAACCCACTTCACAGTGCATTTAAGAGTTACATATGGCTATATAGTTCAGTGCTGAGAACACTTTCTGTCACAAAGTAAATGCTCAGATAGCAATGATGAGTATTATTAGCATTATTAATCTAAAATTTTAATTTTCTTATAAACCTACTACATTGGAAAATTAACTGTTACATCATTAAATTTTCATTATAAAAGAATAATATAAGTTGAAAAATAAAACAATATGTTAGAAAATAGTTCACTTCAATTAAGATTCTAGTGTCAGGTGATAATATACTTTAGAGAATGTTAGGAACTTAAATGGGGCTGGAGTGATAGTACAGCAGGGCGGGTGTATGCCTTGAACGCGGCTGACCCAGGTTCGATCCCTGGCTTCCATATGGTTCCCCAATCCTGAGTGCAGAGCCAGAAATAACCCCTGAGCATCACTGGGTGTGACCCAAAGAAACAAAACAAACAAACAAACAAAAAACATAACGTGTTCTAAAATTCATACATTAAAGCCTCACTCCCACATGTGATGATATTTGGAGATAGGCTTAGTGTTTAATAAAACTCTTCTGAGGGTAATTAGAATACACCTTTGTAAGAGAATGCCACCAGAAAGGCATTCTGGTGGCAATCAGAATGACAGTTCTCATTAGAAGTGGTCATGTTGAAGTCTGGACTCTGAACTTCTTACTCTCTAAAATTGCATGAATAAATAATTCCTGCGGTTTAAGCCACACAGTCTATATGTATGCAGGATTCTTGCTAGAAAAGCCTGAATTGACTAAGACAGCAACATAGATGAAAGTTATTAAAAGTTATAACATTTTAAAGCAAAAATATAAAGACCTCTAAAATACAAGTGACCTACAAAGAAAAAAATATACAAAATCATTGAGAAAGTAATTATTAAGGCACTTAATGACAAACATTAAATGTGAATTTATTCTACACATAGTGAATTTACCTTTTCAATACTATTACAACATAGCAATATGCATAGAATAACTTTATATTATCTGAGAAATGCTTCATTCTACATCAGGCTAGATTCTAGGAACATAAAAGTCAATTTAGGCAAAATTGCAGCCAATTTTTAGATTATACCAAGGTAACTATAGAGCTGGAAAGATTTTAAGTTAAATTGATTAAATACTTTAATCTTAGCTTAAATTCTCCATCTTGAACTCCCGAGAAACCTCAATGAGTTTGGTTATCGTGTGGATATGGTCGATGGTGCTGAATCCTTTGCGGAACCCTGCTTGCTCACATGGTTGTCCTTCATCTAGTGTTCTGCCAATCCTATTCAGGATGACTCGAGTGAACAACTTGTAGATGACAGACAATAGGCAGATCGGGCGATAGTTGCCAATGTCATGGATGTCTCCCTTCTTGAACAGTAGTACGGTCCTGCTGGTTTTCCATTGAGATGGAACCTTGCATTCAGACAGGTAGCGAGTGAAGAGCCGAGCCAGTGTATTGATGAGTACTGACGGCAGGTTCTTCAGGTGTTCAGGTCTGACCTTGTCTGGGCCGGGTGCTGTTTGCTTCTTTACTGACGAAATGGCGTGTCGGATTTCGGAAGGGAGAACGTTGGGAACGACATACCCATCCTGTGGAATTTGGTATGTCGGCAAGTGGACATGGCTATCGAAGAGATTTGAGTAGAAGTCATGGATAATCTTCTCCATTGCCGTTCTGGAGGATGTGATGGATCCATCAGGACGTCGGAGGGCAGTCATCTTGGTCTTGTAGTTGGCGAAGGACAGGCGGGCGTTGCGGATACTTTTCCTGGCTTCTGCCGCATCTACCAGTACTGCTGCTCTTCTCTCTTTGAGGTCTTCCTTGATCGCATCTCTGCACTGCTTTGCAAGCTCGGACGTTAGCTTGCGGTTGCCTGAGGCATGCGCCAAACCACGCTGGCGAATTAGCTCAAGAGTTTTCGAAGATAGGCGACTTTTTGTGGCTATCTCTCTCTTGGCGTTCCTCGCACATTCATGGAGGTGCTGAACCAGTCGATCGTATTCCTCGTCAATGTTGTCAACAATGGCATCTTCCCATGTTGCCGCAATAGTACCAAAGAGTTCCCAGTTGGTGGTCGTTCTGGGAGTTCTCTTTTTGAACTTTTCAGCCCTTTCTCCCCGCTCTGTGAAGTAGAATTTTGCACGAAGGAGACGGTGGTCTGATCCCGTTCGAAATTTTGGGACAACAGCGACATCAGTCAGGCAAAACCGTCGATTGAATATGATGTGGTCTATTTCGTTGTGGAATCGTCCACCGGGAGACTCCCATGTCCATCGTTTAGATTCTGCCTTCTGGAACTGTGAGTTACCATGAATGGTCTTGGTCGACATGATGAACTCAGACAGTCTCTCACCCTGTTCGTTCCATTCTAGGCCATGGGTCCCGATGTGAAGTTCTTCAGCTGATCTTCTCGGTCCTATCTTGGCATTAAAATCACCCACAATGATCTTGTAGAAGGTGTGGTCTTCTTTATAGAACTTCTCTAGCTCCATGTAGAACTTCTCGATTTCTCTTTCATCATAATGAGATGTTGGTGCGTAGACAACGAAGATAGAAACTGCAGGCAGTGAGCCACATCTATTCAAATGTAAACGCTCTGCTTAACGTTCATTGATTTAAAGAAGGCCTTTGATTCTGTTGAGACGGAAGCGGTCATTGAAGCCCTAGCCAGTCAGGGCATTCGAGCCCAATACATCAGGATCCTCCGTGAGCTGTATTGCGGATTCACTACCAGGATCTCACCATTCTACAAAGAAGTGATCGTCGATGTCAAGAGAGGGGTGCGGCAGGGTGATACCATTTCACCAAAACTCTTCAGTGCCACTCTCGAGAACATCATGCGACGACTGGAATGGGAAGGAATGGGAGTGAAGATAGATGGTCGGCAACTACACCACCTCCGCTTTGCTGATGACATTGTTTTAATAACACCAAACATCAGCCAAGCGGCACAAATGCTGGCCCACTTTGACCGTGAGTGTGGAAAGGTAGGACTACAGCTGAATCTTACGAAGACAATGTTTATGAGAAACAGCCTTGTTCCTGACGCCCCATTCGCTCTCAATGGAACGACCATCTCCGAATGCAACAGCTATGTGTACCTAGGTCGAGAGGTCAACATGACAAATGACCTGGCACCCGAGCTGCGCAGGAGGAAGAGAGCGGCTTGGAACGCCTTCAAGAACGTCGAAGAAATAGCTAAGAGGACGAAGAACCTCCGGCTCCGGGCACATCTCTTTGATTCCACTGTTCTTCCTGCATTAACATATGCCTCAGAGACCTGGGCCCTACGCAAACAAGATGAGAACGCCATTCAGGTCTCCCAAAGAAGAATAGAAAGAGCTCTGCTTGGAATATCACGTTTCACTCAAATGAGAGAACGAATCCGGAGTTCTGACATCCGTCGACGATCAAGGATCAGGGACGCTGTCTCATTTGCCAAGGTGTCGAAAATCAGATGGGCTGGTCACGTAATGAGATTTAAAGACGACCGTTGGACTAGAGCTGTTACTGATTGGATTCCACGGGATGTCAAGAGACCGCGTGGCCGCCCACCTACCAGATGGTCAGACTTCTTTGTCAAGGTCATGAACGATCGGTTTGAGGCCCTCCATGTTCCCGGAGCGAAGAGATGCCATTGGGCTACACTAGCACGCGACAGGGACAAATGGAGACGTTACTGGCGCCCGCTCGAGCAAATCGACGACTAACGGGAAGTTAAGTGATTAAGTGATTAAGTGAAATTCTCCATACCTAAAATTAATGTTTGGACTTAATGACCCAAAATAAAAAGGTTTGAATACAGAGAAAAATAAAATGCTTAAAGCCAATCTTCTTTATGTAAAATGAAAAAACTACTAATATTCCAAACTAGCTAATCATCTTCTGTGCCTTTCATTCAACAAACACACATTTATCACAGGGGTCTTAAATAAGAACAGTCCCGATTTGATCTCAGGTACCGTGTATGGTTTCTGGATAGTGATTCCTGAGCATAGAGCCAGGGATAAGCCCTGAACACAGCCAGGCATGCCCCCCAAACAACTGAAGCTTATATATTGTGTATATATGCCTCAGAGGTGGTGACAGACCATCATCTTTACATACTTAACCATAAAAATGAATCATGTTCTAAATAGTGCTCTCAGATTTAAAACACAACACACAAATTATAGCAATGAATAGTGATATTGCTTAGCATTTCAGATAATATGGCTATGAGATAACAGTACTACCCTATACTTTAACATGATGAGTGCATGTTTCAAGTAATAAAATTAAATATTTCTTTAAAATTACCAAGTTATCTGAATTATTGTCAGTTTTTGTTTTCCTTTGCAGTTCTAGGGGTCAAGTCCATGATTTCACACAATGGGAAAAGCACTCTACCACTGAATCACTTTTCTCAGACCCAAATCAATTTTTATAAAACCCAAGCATCTCATCAAGATCTTCAACTGAAGTCTAGACGATATTGCTGAGAGAAATTAAAAACCTAAATAATTGAAGGAATAAATGAATTGTTTATATTCAAAGATTCAATACTGTTAAGATGATA